GTCAGGGGAATTTTATTTAACAGAGATGCTGAAGCTGAAAATCTCCCCATTCTGAAGCTATGCTATCAAGTCCTAGACCTGATCATCAGCATTTCCTGGTCTCCAGTGCAGGAAATTAGACTCTTTTCATATGCTGCCAAAGGTGCCTTCCAGCTTTTCCACTTACGCTTTAATTAGTGATTAGTCACATCCAACCTTTCCAGTCTTTCTCCAGGATCTCAGTAGAGGTCTTACGCTCCATCTACCATTGCCAGATAGATGGCAAATGGTCAGATCTAAAAATTTCATCTTAAACAGGTGTGGTGGCACAGGCCTTGTGATCCCAGCACTTGGTAGATGGGGGCAGGAAGTCCAGGACAATGGACAGCTTCACTGCCTATAGGGCAAGCCTGTAGCCAGCCCCTAAGCAGGCATGGCTACAGCATCCCCTACAACTGCCTAATGCAGTGATTCTCAACCTTCCTAATACTGTGACCCTTTATACAGTTCCTCATGTTGTGGTGACCCCCAACTATAAAATTACATCATTATTTCTTCATAACTCTAAGTCTGCTACTGTTATGAATTATAATGTAAATATGTGATATGTAGGAAATCTGATATAAACCCCCAAAAGGGGTCATACTCACAGGTTGAGAAAACTGACCTAGTGAGTTTGAAGCTGGCTTGTGCTACATGAGACCCATCTTGAAACTAAACAAAATACAAAACCAACTCATTTTAGAGTCTGTTTCTTTGGGTCACTCCAGAAACTCAATAGTTTCATGTTGGGTTTCCTGTGAACTGGTCTCTGAAGTCAAGATTTGAATGTAAGATGTCTGTGGAAATGCCCTTCCCATCCATATCTGTGAACAAGCAGGATTGGGCAGAGAAGTGGAACAGTCACCTCGCTGTAACCAAAACCAAAGTATGAAATGAAAGTTTCCCTTAAAATGGGTTGAAGAGGACTGGGGAACTGGTTCAGCAGTCAAGAGTACTTGTTGCTCTTGCAGAGGATCTGGTTTGATTCCTAGCACCCACATGGTGTACCAGGGGATCTGAAGCCCTCTTCTGGCCTTCAGTGGCAGCAGGCATGCACATGGTGCACATATATACATGTAAAATAATAAGTAAATCTAAAACAAATTCTTTCTTTTTAAATGACAGTAAAAATGGGTGGAAGGGGCCCGGAGAGATGCCTTTAAGGACTTCCTGCTCTTGCAGAGGACTGGAATTCAGTTTCTATAGTCACATCAATCCCAGAGGATCTCATGCCCTCTTTTCATCTTAATGAAGGCTGTGCTCACATGCACAGACACATGCACACATATACACATAATGCTGACATGGTGGCATGCCTCTAATTCCAGCACTCAGGAGGCAGAGGCAGGCGGATCTCTGAGTTTCAGGACTCCCCGGGCTACACAGAAATCATGTCTCAAAAAAAAAAAAAAAAAAAAAAACGAGAGCGAGAGAGAGAGAGAGAGAGAGAGAGAGAGAGAGAGAGAGAGATCCATTTAGAGTTTACACTTCAGGCAAAGGATCTTTATAGTTTCATATCAGCAAGAATTTCCATGCAGGCTTCCTCAGAGAATCCTACAGACTCTCAAGGGTTGTTTGTTAAAGGCATCTTACTATTCAGGCTGGCCTTAAACCTGCAATCCTTCTCCCTCAGGCTCCTATATATGCTTACAGATATATGTCACAATTCCCACCCATTTTAATCCTCCCCCAGGACCAGACCCGACGCCTCACCCATGCTAGACAAGCGTGCTTATGCTCTCTCTTTGAAATTAGGACTGAGCCCTCACTCTAACCATTTTTATTATAGAAAAGGTCTCACCACATAGCTCTGGCTATGTAGACCAGACTGGTCTCGAACTCACAGAGATCAATCTGCCTCTGCCTCCTGAGTGCTGAGAGCCCCCGCTCAAGCATGGTAGCTTTTATAAACCCTGTGCTGAGGAAAGAGGAACAGGGGATTCCTGGGGTTCACTGGATACCCTAGCCTTCTTGGAAAACTCCAGGTCAGTGAGAGAGCTTACATAAAAACAAAAACACAAAAACAAAGTCTGGAGAGGTGGCTCAGAGGTTAAGAGCACTGGCTGCTCTTCCAGAGGACCCAGGTTCAATTCCCAGAACTCATATGGCAGCTCACAACCTTCTGTAACTCCAGTTCCAGGGATCCAAAGCCTTCTTCTGGCCTCTAAAGGCACTGCACATAGGTGGTGTACAGACAGATGTAGGCAAAACACCCACACATAAAATAAAATAATAAAAACCAAAACCAAAACAGGGTATATGGCTTGAGAGGAATGACACCTAAGGTTTTCCTTTGGACTCTACAGGCAACATTACATTCATATATACTTGAACACACCCATAAAACAAAACCAATAAAATAAAATAAAAAGCCTGACCTAACCCTGGTATTATAATTACTGTTTTATTGCTGTGAAGAGACACCATGGCCACACATTTAATTGCTTACAGTCTCAGAAAGTCAGTCTATATCCATCATGGCAGGGGACACAGCAGCAGGCAGGCACGGCACAGGAGCAGTAGCTGACAGTATACAATGTGACACCCTGATCCAAAAGTTAAAGGCAGACAGAGGAGAGGGGGGGAGAGAGGGGGAGACACAGAGACAGAGAGCAGAGAGGGAGGGAGGGAGGAATGGAGGGAGGCAGGGAGAGAAGGAGGGAGGGAGGGAGGGAAGGAGAGAAGGAGAGAAGGAGGGAGAGAAGAAGGGAGAGACTAGAATGATGTGTGCTTTTGAAACCTCAATGCCCAGATCCAATGACAACAATGCCACACCTCTTAATAGTTCCACCAACTATGGACCAAGCATTCAAACATATGAGCCTATGGATGTCATCCTCATTCAAACCACCACACCGTGATGTCCTTTTATGCATGTTCCAACTTCTCCACCTCGATGCCAGCCATCATGATGAAGCAAATAAACCTCTTGCCTTCATTCTTGCCTCTTGTTATTTTGGGGAAAAGGGGCAGGATGCACCCTGGACAAGTACTTTACCTCTGATTTCAAATCACAGTCTAGGTATTCTGTTATGACAACACAAACAGATGAACACAGTAGTGTAATACTGCGTCAGTCTTACAGGACAAAGTGGGGTTAAGTTGGTTAAAGGGATAAAGATGGGGACAGGATAGAAACTGGACCTCCTAGGACAAGAGGACAAGGAATCAAGAAAATGCTATTGTATTTTTTACTTTTGTTTATTTTGTGTATATTTGTGTACATACACATGCTTATGTGTGTGGTTGTATTCAGTATGTATTCAGTGCCACTTTCTTGGAGACCCACCTTGTTGGCTATTCTCACATACCTCAATGCAGTGCTTTCTGTGCAACTCACTGTGTATTTAGTTCAATCTAGCCCAGAGTACCTTTTCTTTCAGTCTCTCTAGTGCCAGGATTACAGGCATGTACCATTATGCCTTATTCCCTTTTTTATTTATTTTTATCCTACTTGATATGAAATTATCCGATATTGTATTGCATATCGATTCCCTCTTCTACTTTGGAATATTAGCTCTCTGAGGAGACAGACTCATTCACTTCTCCAGCCACTAGTTAAGTTCTTCAAAATATTTGTTGCCTATGTTTAACTGACAATCTCGTTATTTTTCAAAACTCTATTAACCAAATTGGAACCCACACAAAGATGGAAAGGAGGAAAGGGATTTCACAAATCTGTCCACTGACCTTTATGTGCCAGACACATATTACACACCAGTCCTAAACACACACGCACACACAGGCACGCACCCACGCAGGCGCGCGCGCGAATATAATAATAAAACATAAGATTTTAAAAATGGTATTAGAACCAGCAAGAGGCTAAGTGGTTAAAATACTCGCTGTGGGGAGCTCGAGAGATGGCTCAGAGGTTAAGAGAGGTCCTGAGTTCAATTCCCAGCAACCACATGGTGGCTCAGAACCATCCTTAATGAGATCTGGTGCCCTCTTCTGGCCTGCAGGCACACAAGCAGATAGAACACTATACATAATAACTAAATAAATAAACCTTCAAAATAAATAAAGGTTAAAATTCCTTTTAAAAATATTTAAAAAACCTCGCTGTGTAAGCCTGTGAAATGAGTTCTATCCCTCTAGGAACAAAATGGACTCTGACCTTCACACAACGATTGCCGTGTGCCCCCTTATAAATAAATACAACATGTTTTCAGGTGTGTTAAAATAGTTAAGTACTACTCTACCCTTACGAGAAGCCAGGGACTACAGAGGTTAAACAAGGACTTGGGAACAAAAAAGTCAGGGCCTCATCCAGTCCTGAAATGTGGCAAAGTTGTTGCTTTGTATGAAACGAGGGAAACCTAGCCCATAAAATCAACACCAAATTCTGGCCACGTAGGAGAAAGGCAGCTAGAACTGTTCCTGGACAGCATGACTCGGAGTTGCCCTCATTAACCTGGAACAACCCCTCAGGGCCAGTACACCAAGTACACCAGGTACTGTTTTAGACATTACACAGTAAGATCTGCCAGGCTTGGCAGCAGGCGCGAGCACCTGCCGGGCTCAGCATGGGGGGGAGGGAAACACCACGACGACGACGGACAGTTACATAATGAGCCAGCTCCTGAGCTTCCCTCGCGCTGCAGGGCGGGCCTCGCTGGTCCAGCCTCGAGACGCTACCCCGAAAGGCTCCGGACAACAACCGGGACAGCGGGTGAACCCAGGAGGGCGTCACGAAGATTACATAAGCGCGCAGGCGCGTGGCAGAAGCGGCGCGTGTCCTGGAGACCGCGTCCCTCTGATTGGCCGGCGGGAGGCGGCCCTGGCGCGTGCGTCAGTCTGGCGTCATCCTGACGTCATGGAGTTGAGGGGAGGAAAGGAGTAGAAGGGGCGTGTCCTGTTGCCCAGAGGGCCCGCGGATTGGCTGCGAGGTGCGGGG